GTCGTGACGCCGCCGCCTGTTCTGGGGAGCCGGAACAATTGTTTCCCCGGCGTTTGAGGAGGGACATGGTCAGGGCCATGACAGCGGCGCCCCCAAGAAGGACACGACACCCGCCGGCGTCGTTGCTGCCAGCAACGGCAAACCATGCAGAGATTTCGCCCTGGCCGATGACCGTGCGTAGAGTCCACTGCCATAGGAAGGAGAGATACGCCCATCAACGGTGGAGATAGGTGACATGGACGCTGTCGGCCTCCCCGCCACAAACGATGACCATGGTTGGCCGTCCTCGCTGCACGAAGCGAACACCCGTCGTCGCCTCCAGGGGGCGGGGGCGGCTCAGGCGATGTTTGTTTGAGGGTGTAAATATGCTCACACCAAAAACGAAAGAATCCTTCGTTGCAAATTGGTGATGAATATGTTCCATACATAATATTTAGCTTGTCCAACACCTTCTAAGGTGGTTTGGCCATATCCAACGGAGTCTCCAGAAGCACCTGTTAAATAGTGGGATTCTAAAATAGCCTCTTTGATTCACATGATTTTTAAAACACATGGATAGGCGTAGGCATCTTGATCAACAAGAGCCTCAAGTATGGAGTGGTAGACGTCAAGAGACGTGGGGACCGGATTATCCTGGTCAAGCTGGTAGTTGAGGACTTGGTTCTCAATGTTATTAGCGCGTATGCCCCGCAAGTAGGCCAGAATGAGAACACCAAGAGGGAGTTCTGGGAAGGCTTGGAAGACATGGTTAGGAGTGTACCGATTGGTGAGAAGCTCTTCATAGGAGGAGACCTCAATGGCCACGTGGGTACATCTAACACAGGTTTTGAAGGGGCGCCTGGGGGCTTTGGCTATGGCATCAGGAATCAAGAAGGAGAAGATGTCTTAAGCTTTGCTCTAGCCTACAACATGATTGTAGCTAACACCCTCTTTAGAAAGAGTGAATCACATCTGGTGACTTTTAGTAGTGGCCAACACTCTAGCCAGATTGATTTCATCCTCTCGAGAAGAGAAGATAGGCGTGCGTGCCAAGACTGTAAGGTGATACCTGGAGAGTGTGTTGTACCCCAGCATAAGCTGGTGGTTGCTGACTTCCGCTTTCGGATTCGTGTCCAGCGGGATAAGCGTGCCAAAGTCGCTAGAACGAAGTGGTGGAAGCTCAAGGGGGAGGTAGCTCAGGTGTTCAAGGAGAGGGTAATTAAGGAGGGCCCTTGGGAGGAAGGAGGGGATGCGGACAATGTGTGGATGAAGATGGCGACTTGCATTCGTAAGGTGGCCTCAGAGGAGTTTGGAGTGTCCAGGGGAAGGAGAAGCGAAGATAAGGATACCTGGTGGTGGAATGATGATGTCCAGAAGGCGATTAAAGAGAAGAAAGATTGCTTCAGACGCCTATACCTGGATAGGAGTGCAGACAACATAGAGAAGTACAAGATGGCGAAGAAGGCCGCAAAGCGAGCTGTTGGTGAAGCAAGGGGTCGGGCATATGAGGACCTCTACCAACGGTTAGGCACGAAGGAAGGTGAAAGGGACATCTATAAGATGGCTAAGATCCGGGAGAGAAAGACAAGGGATATTGGCCTAGTCAAATGCATCAAGGACGGAGCAGGCCAACTCTTGGTGAAGGACGAGGAGATTAAACATAGATGGCGGGAGTACTTCGACAAGCTGTTCAATGGGGAGAATGAGAGTTCTACCATTGAACTGGACGACTCCTTTGATGAGACCAGCATGCGTTTTGTGCGGCGCATCCAGGAGTCTGAGGTGAAGGAGGCTTTAAAAAGGATGAAAGGAGGCAAGGCGATGGGCCCTGATTGTATCCCCATTGAGGTGTGGAAAGGTCTCGGGGACATAGCGATAGTATGGCTAACCAAGCTTTTCAACCTCATTTTTCGGGCAAACAAGATGCCAGAAGAATGGAGACGGAGTATATTAGTACCAATCTTCAAGAACAAGGGGGATGTTCAGAGTTGTACTAATTACCGTGGAATTAAGCTGATGAGCCATACAATGAAGCTATGGAAGAGAGTCATTGAGCACCGCTTAAGAAGAATGACAAGCGTGACCAAAAATCAGTTTGGTTTCATGCCTGGGAGGTCGACCATGGAAGCCATTTTCTTTGTACGACAACTTATGGAGAGATATAGGGAGCAAAAGAAGGACTTGCATATGGTGTTCATTGACTTGGAGAAGGCCTATGATAAGATACCGTGGAATGTCATGTGGTGGGCCTTGGAGAAACACAAAGTTCCAGCAAAGTACATTACCCTCATCAAGGACATGTACGATAATGTTGTGACAAGTGTTCGAACAAGTGATGTCGACACTGATGACTTCCCGATTAAGATAGGACTGCATCAGGGGTCAGCTTTGAGCCCTTATCTGTTTGCATTGGTGATGGATGAGGTCACTAGGGATATACAAGGAGATATCCCATGGTGTATGCTCTTTGCGGATGATGTGGTGCTAGTTGACGATAGTCGGACGGGGGTAAATAGGAAGTTAGAGTTATGGAGACAAACCTTGGAATCGAAAGGGTTTAGGCTTAGTAGAACTAAAACGGAGTACATGATGTGCGGTTTCAGTACTACTAGGTGTGAGGAGGAGGAGGTTAGCCTTGATGGCCAGGTGGTACCTCGGAAGGACACCTTTCGGTATTTGGGGTCAATGTTGCAGGAGGATGGGGGTATTGATGAAGATGTGAACCATCGAATCAAAGCCGGATGGATGAAGTGGCGCCAAGCTTCTGGCATTCTCTGTGACAAGAGAGTGCCACAAAAGCTAAAAGGCAAGTTCTACAGGACGGCGGTTTGACCCGCAATGTTGTATGGCGCGGAGTGTTGGCCGACTAAAAGGCAACATGTTCAACAGTTAGGTGTGGCGGAGATGCGTATGTTGAGATGGATGTGTGGCCACACGAGGAAGGATCGAGTCCGGAATGATGATATACGAGATAGAGTTGGGGTAGCACCAATTGAGGAGAAGCTTGTCCAACATCGTCTGAGATGGTTTGGGCATATTCAGCGCAGGCCTCCAGAAGCTCCAGTGCATAGCGGACGGCTAAAGCGTGCGGAGAATGTCAAGAGAGGGCGGGGTCGACCGAATTTGACATGGGAGGAGTCCGTTAAGAGAGACCTGAAGGATTGGAGTATCGACAAAGAGCTAGCTATGGACAGGGGTGCGTGGAAGCTTGCTATCCATGTGCCAGAGCCATGAGTTGGTTGCGAGTTCTTATGGGTTTCACCTCTAGCCTACCCCAACTTGTTTGGGACTAAAGGCTTTGTTGTTGTTGTTGTTGTATAGGAAAAATACATGATTGGAATAGTATGTCCTCTGGGACTCCTATAGGATTCAGAAATTATAGAATTTGGATAAAAATGTATTTGATGACATGGGAAAAATAAAAGAATTTTACATTAAGTGGATGTAAATTTCCCTCCAAAATAAGGTGCAAACCAATACTTAGAAAATTTCCTAAGGACTCCAATCTTACGAATCAAACAATTTATGTAAAAAAAATTCTTGAGGAATCAAATCCTAAAAATTTCCTTTGAATCAAAGGAGCCTAAGTGTCAGGGGCGACCAAAGTTGACAGGGAGGAGGCGGTAAAAAGGGAGTTGAAGGATTGGATAGTACCGAGATAAGTAGAGAGTTGGCTATTCATAGGACTACATGGAGATTTGCAATCATGTGCCGAAACCTTAACCTAGTCTATTATGCTTCGTTTACTTTTTGTTTCTTCTCTCTTTCGTATTTTGGTTTTTCCATATGTTTCTGTTGGGTTTCATATCTAGCCTAACTGCCTAATTATCCTCCTGCAAATTAGATGTTGTAACTTAGTAAGATAGTTTTGCAATGGTAAGCATCGTATGTTTACGGCAATTTGCTGGTAATGCTGCTCCTTTGCTGATGCTTGAAAATAGAAATTTGTTGAAATTTTCTGTTGGTAGTTTGTTTTATGATCCTGAACTCTACTAGAGGAGCGACAGTCAGACCATTTGCAGATCTAGTTTAGTTCTTTTGAAGACAATCAACTTTTCTAGTTTAGTTCTTTTGAAGACAATCAACTTTTCTGTTTGCTGATCTTTTTCTCTATTACTCAGAAAACCGAAGATGGACGTCACTAACTTGCATGCAAATATTTTGAAAGATCAATGCGGAGGCAAAAAGCCACGGCTCAAGTGCCATTGGATGAACTTTCAAGCAGTTCAAGAATATCTCAATATAAAGATTCATTAGTGATTAGCTTGTGTATTTTTTTCTACTGCAAGACAAGCAAGTGTATTAGTGTAGTGTGCCGATCCTGCAATCACGCCGTCTGTTCTTGTAAATTTTATCAACTCTTACTTGGTGTACACAATTGTTTGGGGTACAGTCTGCACTTTGTAAAAAAAACGCTCCAATGTGTTGCACTATACTGCTAGAGTTGTTGCTTTGGACTTTCAAAGTCTGCTACTATCTCTGTTTTTTCTCAAATGTGGTGCTAGATACATCCATTTGAGGGACAAGTTTTTTCGGACGGAGGGAGTACCAACCAATTCGAGTAGCCAAATTTTCTGAGACAAGGGACTGGTTTGAGGAACCTATGAACGATATTGTAAATTTTCTTATAGACGATGTAACCATTATTACTAATAAATAAAGAGGATGTTTATTTCAAAAAGAAAAATCAAGCAAACGTATATTTAGATTTGGACAGGTACTGTTTGGTACATCCACACTGAAGCTGACAATAAACAATTCATACAATCAAGGGCAATTAGTTAATATCAATAGTTACAATACATTATGGATCAAATTAGATGCCACTCCACAGGACATGCCCCATCAATTGGACATTTGCAAACTTCGTCAAGCTTGGTTTGATCTGAAGTTTCAAAAAGGGGAAATAAAAATACTGTTCCCTGTAACCTTGGTAGCTGGCCGACGACGAACACCACGAGATGTTACCTTTTATTTACTGTAGGAATTAAATCATTAGACTGAACATGAAACTGAAACCCTCATTTCTTTACAAGATAGCCCAGAATGATGCTAAGCAGCCCACACACCAGTACAAATATCAGCGAGAATCCTCCTTGTTTACTGGCATCACGCCTTACTAGCTCCTGCATGTTGAAGAGGCAAATGTTTAACATTCAGTTTGTAGAAGGATCAAGGTGGTTGTGGATATGAGAATTTAGATGATCAATTCTTCCAGCAAGGACTCTAACTACATTTTGCAGTCTAGACTTTGCATCTTAATTGTTCAAATAAAATCAGTTATGGTGGAAATCGTGAATTTTTTTTGGTTCCTCCATTAGCACAGTATTTAGTTTAGGCTTGCAGAAATCAACTAAAATACATTCCGGATGCAGCAGTCCGATCGTGCTACGTGCTAAATCTTAATGCACCGGTTTGATCATAATCAGGGAGCTCTCTTGAGGGAATTTCTGAATTGAGAAGGAAGAAGTAGAAGAGACAGAATCATCTTATCTCTTTATCTTGGAACATCAAGAGGATAGGTTCCATCTCTTCTTCAAAGCTACTCCCTCCGTCCCATAATATAAGAGCATTTTTGACACTACCCCATAATATAAGAGCATTTTTGACACTACTGTAGTGTCAAAACACTCTTATATTATGGAACGGACAGAGTATTTTTTTTATCTACTAACAGCAGGGAGTGCCCTGCCGTATTCCCTTCAAAGAATAAAATGAATTTTCAGGGCAGAGCTACTCCAGTTCTTTATATCAAATTCTTCAACCATCTACTGCTGCGAAACTGTATAAGTGCCTACTTCACACTATTGAGTGTATAAGTAAGCATCTACTATTGTTTCCCATCCATATTCTAGTGTAGGCGCGTGATAGTTCAGGCAACAAAACTCTGTTGATATAATATGGGTATCCCTAAAGAATACAGAAGTACACGCAATGTTGAACAAACTGCACAACTTAATGGTGTATACTGCCACACATATGCAACTTGGACCCTTCAATAGTGTTTTATGTGTATG